CAAACATAATAATAAAAAATGCTCATTGTGGTAAACGAAATAATAATTTGATCTAAGTAAGAGATTTTTCTCCCCGATTTGTAAAAAATCCTTACTTGATAGAAAAAAATATTATATTTGAAACCTGCGTAGCTGAAAATCCTTTATTAAAACCAAAACAATTTTTATGAAGTTTAAATTCGCTGGCCTTCGTAATTACTAGTTGTTGATTAGTAAATTCTGTGAACGATGGAAAAAAAAAGAAATTCAGTTAGATAGAATAAGAAACGCATTGTTTGCTTTTAAAATACTCTTTAAAGTCCTTGTTAGTTAGATAGAATAAGAAACGCATTGTTTGCTTTTAGAATACTCTTTAAAGTCCTTGTTAGTTAGATAGAATAAGAAACGCATTGTTTGCTTTTAGAATACTCTTTAAAGTCCTTGTTCACAAGGACTTTAAAGAGTATTTTAAAAGCAAACAATGCGTTTCTTATTCTATCTAACTCACAAGGACTTTAAAGAGTATTCTAAAAGCAAACAATGCGTTTCTTATTCTATCTAACTCACAAGGACTTTAAAGAGTATTTTAAAAGCAAACAATGCGTTTCTTATTCTATCTATTTTACCAAATTTCATCTTTATTTTAAAAATGTTTGTTAATGTTAATTTTGTATAGAACACTTTAAGATATGTTCATGTTACTGTCTTATTTTCATGGACTAATTTTCATCCAGTTGCAAACAGATCTTAAACGAACTGCGGAACTTGAAGAATTAATAGCACTCTACCTACGTTAACCCTCAGCAATGAATTTGCAATAATTGATAAAACTCAAGCAAATACCTGATTGAACTAAAAGAAGACACTCGTTGTGGTCAATTACGGATTGGATAAGATACCCTTTTGTTGCTTTCCATTACGTTGATGTAAATCATTACAAGTTCTCTAATGTCTGTAAATGTGATAGAAGTAGAGATGTGGCCATATTCGTGTTTCCTGTACTTTTTTACTAAAATAATATATTTTACAGCATTGTTTCATCAATCTCAACCTAACTTTAATGAGATGATAAAAAAAATATTTATTTTTGGAAACATAATGATCTGTCTTGTGGTGTTCATCCTTAGATTTTATTAGTTTAACACGGGAAATAACTCTGGAAATGAAAATACTTTGATGAGACAGTTTGAGGGGTTTTTTTTTGTTTGTTTTTTTGTAAAATTGGGTGCAATCCCTTAAGCGCTCTTTCAGAAAAACTAAAAAGTTCAGAGTAATTAGTTCAGCATAACAACATGGTATCCAAGTTCAGCACAACAACATGGTATCCGTTCCTATGCAAGCCTACTACATTTACTCTCTTAGAGTATCACATTTCCACTCTTTTTTTGCCTAATATTATAATAGAAGTCGACGCTTTAATTAGTTCCGAATGGACTAATGAAGTAAGTTTAAAGTATACAATATTGTTAATGGTCTTCTTCTTCCCATTGTAAGTAGTTATAACTTTCTTTAACACAATAGTTCAAGAAAGTTATAACTACTTACAATACTACTTACAATAGTTCAAGAAAGTTATAACTACTTAAAACAACCAGTCAATGGCACCCACCGTCAAAGAAGCATTTGTTCGATTCTTTGAGCCAAATAATAGGACTAACTATCAATTTTATAATGTATCTAAACTGAAAGTGCGGGGCTTTTTCAGTGGCATCACGTCTCGAAAACTAAACTCTACGACGTGCAGCTTGACACGCTAATCACTACGCTACACCCGACTCGTACTGAGTCAATAATAGCTTTTAAGAATACAATTTGCATAAATTTCATGGTTTTAATATTAAGCTTAAACCATGTGAATATCAAAATATAATGCCTGGTAAAGTATCTTGAAATCAGTTGAATACATTCAACGAATGTAAATGCAATGATTCGAATAAGTATTTCAAAAACACTGAAATAGCATATCAAAATCCTTGTCATGTAAAAAACATTAACAAAGTTAAAATGAGCACGCCTAAAATAGCCACTAACTTATATATATATATCTGATGTAATCAAGAAATATTGTAGTAATGTAACAACAGCAGTGATAACATTATATATTACAATAATAACTTTATATTAATCTTTGAAAACTGCCATTCTTTTGGCTATATTTCTACTTATATTTTACATTCAACTATAAGGATGTCAAGTTGAATGTTTTTCTGAAATTCGGTGATACTGCCCTATATGGAGAAAATCAGGAGAAAGTTCAAGAAAGTTATGAAATAGCTTACACAGATTCAAATATTTCACTAAAACACACTGACTGATCAACTCGCTATCTGGAAATAACACTGTCTATCTTAAGTATTCTTTTTTGAAAGCCTGTTTATAAATTATCTTACAAAGTATTGGAAAAACTCTGATGTCAGAATTAATGTCATCATTAAAGCCCGAAGCTCTCTCTAGTAAACAAACAAATTACAATGTTAAAAATATATAGCTTTCAACAATGTCATTCACAGTTGGAACATAGCTGCTTATAGGTACAACCTTAGCACTGAGTAATTCATGTTTGAGATATAATGTTATTTAAAATTGTCTTAAATTAAGTGTGGGAACACTTTGTTGTTTATCTGAAAGTTTAAAGTATAAAATATTTTGAAGAACTGTAAGTTTCAGCCACTTTAGGGTTAAACGGCCAAAAAGAGAACCCCAGGGTTCAAGTATCGCCATCTCTAATTTTGAAATACTGACGAGAGGGCACTTGTGGAGACATTCTGTATAAGAAAGTGATTTTACGTTAAGCCTTATTGTTAGAGAGGTTTGAATATCACTTCAACTAGGCCTACAACAACTTACGATGGTGTACAAGTGTTCAAGTTTGTAGAAATATTAAAAGAGAAAATAAACTAATTTGCTATGGTTTACGTGCTTTGAATTACTTTTACCAATATACAATTAAGTAGAACATTAAAATATCTTAGTTTAGTGATCGACATGCCAGATTATGGGTCTGATGGTCCGTGGTTCACGTCCTGTTACCTTAAAAAAGCAAGGAAAACGTATTTTGCACTTTGAACCCGAGGCGACGGTTAGCCTTAATGTCCCTTTGAACGAACTACTGTTTGATTAACGAAAAGAAGGAAAGAAGGAGAAAAAACGTCTCAAAGAGAGAGAGAGAGAAAAACTGTAATATTTCAAAGATGTTTCTCTTGCTTTCTACTTTACAGCCCTTTGAAAAAAGGAATGGCCTTATGTTCCCTAATACTGTGCATTAATTCTTATCGTTCGTCA